TCAGAGAGGAAATGAGAAGAAAAAGGACCAAAGTCCGGCCTCAGAGGTTCCCAGGGCCCTGACCGTCTTCTCCCTTCACTAACAGCATTGCGTCGGGGCTGAGAGCATGGACTTCACGTTTCTAGGGGACATGGGGGACAGGCGGATGTGTGAGCCAATGCAACAGAGATGCCATCAGCCACATCCAGAATGTGGGATCCCTATAGAACAAATAACCCAGTTTCTTCAATAAATAGGAAGGAAAAAAGAAAGATCAGAAAGATACAAGAGACACAGAGCCAAATGTAATGCACGGGACTTAATGGGATCCTGATTCAAACAAACCACCTGTGAAAACACCACATGATGGGGACCAACAGTTAGCGTAATGGCTATGTCGCTGGACTCCCATGTAGTTGACCGCGGTTCGTGTCCCGGACCCGGAGGCTTAAAACTCATGCTGGGCACATGTGCGTGCATGCCCAAGATCCTGAGAGGAGAATGGAGGAGAAGGGATTGTGGTGTGACCATCCTCCCTGGGGGGTGATTTCTCGCTTTCTATCTCTCTGTCTCTCTCTGTCTGGTGAGCACACGTGCCCTGTAGCAAAAACCTCTTCAAAAAGAGGGAAAAAAAAAAAAAAAGAAAATACCATATGACAGGCCCAGCTCCCCCCACCCCCAAGGCAAAGACACTACCACTGGGGAGACTGAGGCCACACAGGAGACCTGGGTTTGAGTCCCAGATCATCCTAAAAAAGCCAGAGGTGGTGACATGAGATGGTCATCCTAGCTGCTGGAGAGGCCAAGGCAGGACTGAACTCCCAGCCAGTGTGCATGGCACCATGGGAGACCATGCGAGAGAGCCAGGAATGGCAGTGTGCACCTGGGCCCAGCTACCCAGAAGGCTGAAACAGGAGAGTCACTACACAGCAAGGCCCCGTTTTAAAAAAAGAAACAAAAATTAAGTGAAAATCAGGGAAATGTAAATAGTGACTGCTTATTTGATGACAAGAAGAAATCATTATTTTAGGCATGTTAAGGGTATTCTGGTTATGTTAAAATGAATTTTTAAAAACCCTGATATGGGGCCAGCAGGCCTGGTGGTTAGGGTGCTGGACTACCACATGGCTGACCCTGGTTCGAGACTCAGACCTGGCAGCTTGCTTTCTCTCTATATATCTCTCTCTCACTCTGTCCCTCTCAAGTCAAATTAAAATAAATAAAGTTAAATAAAAAATAATTCTTTAAAAAATATTTAAAAAGTCTGATATGTGATGAAAAGAGCACTTCACCTGGGTAACACACTCCCCCCAAACTGAGCGCCCCAGTGTATCCACGAGAAAGACAGGAGACAAACCCAAATTAAGGGACATCTCTACAACATCCTACTATTACCTCTCAATACTGTCAAGGTCACTGAAAACAAGGAAGTCTGAGAGACAGTCCCAGACCAGAGATATGGGCAGGGCCCTGAAGGAGCCTGGCAACCCAGTTTGTACTGCGCAGATTTTTGTGAATTTAGGCTCACCTCCTCAGAGACCTCGCCCTACTCTGGGGTATCTCAGGCCTGCAGAATCTTTTGTTGAGAGATTTTTGCTACAAGGTGCATGAACTTTCCAGAGAAACGGAGAGACAGAAAGCAAGAAGTCACCCCCCCGGGAGCATGATCGCATTGCAATCCCTCCTCCTTCATTCTCTTCTCAGGATTTTGGGCACGCACACACACGCACCCAGCGTGAGTTTCAAGCAGCCAAGTCTGGGACTCGAACTGTGGTCAGACATGTGGGAGTCCAGCACCTTAACCACCATGCCACCTGCTGACCCCCTGAAGAATCTTATACTATTAAACATACCCCCATTTGGCTGCAATTTTATAAGAACCCTAAAGGACAATTTAAAGAAAAACTGGCCCACCTTCCCAATCACAACCTAGTAAGTCGATTTAACTCGAGTTCAAAATCTGCCACATATTCCTTTATTCAACACGTCTTTATTAAGCACCTCAGAAGTGCCAGACACTGTGCTGAGTCCTGGAGAGATGAGAGGGGGTGAAGGCAGCAGGCACAGTCCCTGCTTCCATGGAGCCTGTGTTCGAAAGGGGGAGACAGATGGCAATAAAGTACTCACCCCAAATCAGCAGATACACAGAGACGGGTGCTTTGCGGTCGGGGCGCACAGCCAAAACCTCGACCAGGGCTAGGAGAAGGCTTCCCCGTGGAAGTGATGCTTCATAGACACAGCAGGGATGAGAATAGTGGACACAAGAGTTAGGGGCAGGGGAGGAGGTGACATTCCAGGCAGAAGGCCCAGCAGCGGGAGGGAATGTGGTGGGTTCGGAGGCCAAAAGCAGCCAGTGTGCTGGGAAAGGGGATACAGGAGTGGGGTGAGTCAAGGAAGAAGTCGATAGGAGCGGACCCTGCAGCCCTTTCAGGCTCCTTCAGAAGTGAGGTCTTTTATTTTTTTTCTTTTTCTTTTTTGGAGAGGTGTTTGCTATAGGACGCATGCACTTGCCAGAAAGAGAGAGAGACAGAAAGCGGAAAATAAGCCCCTGGGGGTGTGGCCACGCCGCAATCCCTTCTCCTCCATTCTCCTCTTGGGATCTTAGGCACATACGTACACGCGCCCGGCGTGAGTTTAAGTCACCGGGTCCGGGACTCGAACCACGTCGACTACATGGGAGTGCAGCGACAAAGCCATTACGCTAACTGCTGGTCCCAGAAATGAGGTCTTTACCTCAGAAGCAGGGAAAGCCACTGGAGGGTGCTTAAGTGGGGGGGGCATCACCTGACCAGGGACATCACCTCCTTACTGGGACTCTGCCAGGTGGGAGAGGAGCGGGAAGGGGGCCAGATGGAAGCAGGGAAGCCTGCTGGGAGGGTAGACAGCGGCCAGGACAGTACTGAGTTGACGGCTTGACCTAGGAATCTGGCAGTGGAGATGGGTGGGTCGGAGGCCAAGAGGTGAGGTCACTGGGCCTCTGGTTGGATTTAGAGGGTAAGTGAGAGGAAAGAAAGCATACAGGTGACTCTCAGGTCTCTGTTGCCAGCAACTGGGTGGCAAATTGGGCTGCTTGCAGAGTCAGGAGATGAGGTGGGAGGATCAGGTTTAGAGAAAAGAGAATTTCCTTGACATCCTCACTGTGCTGGAGGAGAGGTGCCTCCACAGCAAATACTACACATTACTGCCTGGCAAAGCGGTGCCCAGCAGACGCACCAGCGCAGGCTGCAGGACTGAAGCAGCCTCAAATGTGCATCTACAGCTCTCAGTGATCACGGCAAAGTGCTGTCATTACAGCCACGAAGAGCGATTCAATGAATGTTGGGTAACTGGAGACCCCAAGTCCCACACACGGATAACACGCACAGGAAAACAAAACAAAGCAAAACCCACAGATCTTTACTCTGTACATCACCAGGCCCAACCCAGCCTCAGGGTAGGACCCGGGCAGGAGGGAACGATTAGTCCTCTCAAAAGATTCCTTTGGGGTGGGGAGGTTACTGGGAGCCTCCAAATAACCATCCAGCCACATGCAGAGCTCCAGGGCAGACTGCAGGGCAAGTGGAGCTGTGAGGACCCTGGAGGGAGGCCAAAGGGTGTGCAGAGGGAAGCACCTGAAAAGGGATGAGTGTTTCCCAGAGCAGGCAGGGCTGATAGCCTGGAGGAACGGGCAGGAGTGTGCAGGGGAAGGAGGGCCACTCCAGGCAGGCTCACTCCTGACAAGGCAGTCTCGCCCCAGCTGTCATCCTACAGTGGCAGGAGGACGCCAGATACCTACATGCTGAGATCGTCTTTTTTTTTTTTTTTTTTTTTTAAGGAATTAAAGTCCTGTTTAAAAACATCGGAGACTTTTCTCAGAAGGTTCAGGAGCACAGCCCCCTAAATTACCAGCGAAGCTCCAGGAGTTGGAAACCAGACCCTCTCCCACCAATGGCTTCGGTGGGGTCGGAGTCCACAGCTCCGACCTTTGTACAATTTCCTTTCTTACAAAGTTCTTTCTGGCCGCCTCTGCTCCCGCCCCTGCTCCCCCGGGCAGGCCCCGGTTCACTTTGCGGGAGTCTCTTTGCCCTTTTCCTAATAACGCCCATTTCTTCAGCGCTGGAGGCTACAGGGACCCGAAGGTTTGCAGCGAGGAACAGTCCCTCCCGACTCCTGCTCCCCAGCCGGCCAGCACGTTCGCGCTGCGGGCTTGAGCCCAGTCTCCGCGGTGCCCTGGCAGGGGTTCCGGAGGAGAAGTACCTCTGACACCGTTACCCGGACAGAGCCAGAGACTGGGGGGCGGGGGCGGGCTCCCAGTGGCAGACCCTCCAAGGGACCGCGGCCCCAGGGAATGACACAGCATTTCCAACGCGCCCCCAGCTCTCCCGGCCCGTCCCAGCTTCAAAGCCGCAGGGCACCTGCCGGCGGACTCGCTGCGTCAGCGAGTCCTCAGTGGTGCGCACCAGAGTAGCCGGGCCGCAGCACCACACGGCACGTGGCCCTGCCGGGCTGTGCACAGTGGACACGGCCAGGGCAGAGGGCTGGGAGCGTGACCATGGAGCACCGATGCTGCCGGGCGGCTCTGCCAGCAGCTTGGGAAGGATCTCAGTTCCACCCAAGGGAAAAGTTAGAACGGATCCCACCACGCCAACTTCTCATCCAGGGCTGGACTCGAACTTTGCTCCCGGAGCTGGCAGCTGCATAGCAGGAGTGACCCTGCAGGAGCCGCTCGGACCCGGGCACACGGATCCTGGGCCGCGGCCTGCGATGGCCAATCACAGATCGCCTCGGGCAGGAGAGGCTGGAGGGCGCGGGCAGGCGGAGAGTGACGGAACCAATAGCCAATAGGGAGCCAACGTGAGAGACCTCGCCCGCCCCACTGACCAATAGGAAAGGGGTGGCTGTGGCCGAGGTCCCTGAGGCACTAGCTACAGGCTCCGGTGGCCGTGGGTCGGAGACCCTAGGGCTGAAGGGGACTTTGGAGAGGAATCTGCTCGCCCTCCCTGTGTCACGTGCTGACCCGCAGACCACATCCCAGTTCTCACCTGCTGGAAGCGAGGTTTGCCCAGCTGGAAAGGAGGTGCGTCGGTCGAGGAGTTAGCGGCACTAGCCGCGGCCGCCGATGTTGTAGTCGCTGTATCCGCCATGGCCACTGACGCCCGCAATCTCCGGCCCTTTTAAAATGTCCCTCCTCGGCCCCCGCCACAGCTGCCTCTCCCGATTGGCCATGAGTAACCGCAGCGAGCAGGAGGCGCAAGGGATTGTGGGGAGTGTAGTTTTCCTCGGCCCGGCGTTTGCCTACCCTACACTGCGTTGAGTTAGTTGTACCGACACAGGCCAGGTCTCCGTTTCCGCCGCCAGCATTGCAGGGGTCGGCAGTACGGGAAACGTGGGCACGTACGACTTCGAGGCCCCGACAGAGGCCACGGAGCGACCCCTCGCCGCTTGCCTGCCCCCAGAAGTTTGTGTTGCTGCCGTTGACATCGCTCCCGGAGCGGCAGCGCGGTAGGGCCCTACTCCAAGCGGGCCGACTGGTGATAGCAGGCGAAGTAGGGTTAATCTTGGAAGGCTTTCTACAATGAGTTGCACTGCAGAACCGTCATGCAGGTTCTTGTCACCGCCCTGCCCCCTCCACCCACCTGACACTCAGGTGCTGCAATACCATACCCAGAAAACCGACTTTTGTCTTCACCTGATGCTCTTTCTAGCTTCAGCCTAAACATCACTCTTCCTGATCTATCATCCTACTTCCACAAAATCCGACACGTTCCTAGTGTACCTAGCACTTCTCTTGCAGTCCTCGCATTGATCATTACACGTGGTTTTGACTATTTGTCTCTATAAGGCGCACAGGGTAGACCGTGACTCTGAGATTCACTGTTAAGTCCTCAGTGCCACTTTATGAAAGGGCTCACAGTAGAGACGCCAATCTGCGCTAGCTATGAGTTAAACACTTTGGACTTAAGAACCCTGGCAGCCTCCACTTCCTTTAGCCAACCAGGGAAAAATCCCTCCTGGTGCTAGTTTCTGTGCTGTAAGGGACTTTGGGCAAGGGGAAGGGAACGGGATTCGGTAGTGTTTAATTGAGGGAGAGTACCACAGACTGCAGAGCAAGCACCAGCATGGAGACATACTCCTACAGAATGGAGTAGCTGTAGTAGATTCCTAGCTGAATCATCTGGTTAGTTGAGCCATACTGGTAGGGTGAGAGGTGGGGAAGGAGCTGCCTCTTTCACTCAAGAGGACCAGGACAGTAGAAACATTTGATCTCGACTAGGGAAATCCATTGTGGGTCTTAGTTTCATGGTGAGGTGTAGAGTTGGCTCATGCCTGCCTATCTTGATGGTGAACTGCTACATTCAGAATTCCTCATCCACTAATGGCTGAATCAAAACAACAACAAAACATATTTTTAAAATATTTTTTGTATTAGGGCATGTGCACTTAGCTAGAGAAAGAGAGAGGGAGGGAAAGGAAGAAATCACCCCCCAGGGAGATGGCCACACTGCAGTCCCTTCTCCTCCATTGTCCTCTAGGGATTTTAGACATGCATGCATACACACACACACCTTGTTTTGTTTTTCCAAGTCACTGGGTCGAAGACAAACTGTGCAATCAACCATGTGGGACCCAGCGCCTTAACCATCATGCCACCTGTTGGTCCAAAAAGGATTTGTCTTTTATTTTATTTATTTTGGTAGATTTTGCTATAGGGTGCATGTACTCACTGGAGAGAGAGAGATAGAGAGCTAGAAATCACCCCTTGGGTGGGGGTGACCACACTGCAATCCCTTCTCCTCCATTCTCCTCTTAGAGAGTAATGTAACCATTACACCATCGGCTGGTCCCAAAAAGACTCTTCTTGAAGCTGGAGACCCTAACTTGTACTTTAAGATATAAAGGACAATTTATATCTTATCTTCCCCTACAGGACAGGAACCAACTATTTTAGCCTCTGTATTTCCCCACAGTACCGTATAAATGTGTGCACTGAAATGCCCAATAAATACATCCTGGGAGTGAGAAAAGACTGAATCCAGGCCATTGGGTGACACCGTACTGCTGCCCTCTGCTGTTAGGGCAGGAGCAGTGTCATCCAAGAGCCCCACCACCTTGATTTAAGGCTTCTTCCTCCCACAGGCAGCCTCGTTCACACTCATTCCAAAACAGGAACACAGCAGAGCCACCTGCAGTATGTGAACTTTTATTCTTCATAAAGTGCTCAAAACATGAAGAACAAGCTCTTTATAAACAGGAGTTACAACCAGGAAGACAAACGGCAAAGCAGAACTGTGCCTGCTCCCTGCCCAGCCCACCTGCAGCGATCGTCCAACTTGTGACTAGGCGCAAAAACAACAAAGAACTTGGGCTTCAGTTCCAACTCTCCTAAATTCATCCCTACCCTGATGGCCACACTGCAGTCCCTTCTCCTCCATTGTCCTCTAGGGATTTTAGACATGCATGCATACACACACACACCTTGTTTTGTTTTTCCAAGTCACTGGGTCGAAGACAAACTGTGCAATCAACCATGTGGGACCCAGCGCCTTAACCATCATGCCACCTGTTGGTCCAAAAAGGATTTGTCTTTTATTTTATTTATTTTGGTAGATTTTGCTATAGGGTGCATGTACTCACTGGAGAGAGAGAGATAGAGAGCTAGAAATCACCCCTTGGGTGGGGGTGACCACACTGCAATCCCTTCTCCTCCATTCTCCTCTTAGAGAGTAATGTAACCATTACACCATCGGCTGGTCCCAAAAAGACTCTTCTTGAAGCTGGAGACCCTAACTTGTACTTTAAGATATAAAGGACAATTTATATCTTATCTTCCCCTACAGGACAGGAACCAACTATTTTAGCCTCTGTATTTCCCCACAGTACCGTATAAATGTGTGCACTGAAATGCCCAATAAATACATCCTGGGAGTGAGAAAAGACTGAATCCAGGCCATTGGGTGACACCGTACTGCTGCCCTCTGCTGTTAGGGCAGGAGCAGTGTCATCCAAGAGCCCCACCACCTTGATTTAAGGCTTCTTCCTCCCACAGGCAGCCTCGTTCACACTCATTCCAAAACAGGAACACAGCAGAGCCACCTGCAGTATGTGAACTTTTATTCTTCATAAAGTGCTCAAAACATGAAGAACAAGCTCTTTATAAACAGGAGTTACAACCAGGAAGACAAACGGCAAAGCAGAACTGTGCCTGCTCCCTGCCCAGCCCACCTGCAGCGATCGTCCAACTTGTGACTAGGCGCAAAAACAACAAAGAACTTGGGCTTCAGTTCCAACTCTCCTAAATTCATCCCTACCCTGGGCACTTGGGAGGCCCATAATCAATGGTGAGTGGAAGGTCAGGGCCAGGGCTGGGACTGCAGAGCCCAGAGGAAAACCTAGGAGGGAGTGATCCCCGCTTTCAGAAGAGATACCTCTCCAACCCCTGATGTTCCCTCCCCATTGCTGAAGTCCTGGGCAGCTGTGGGTACTTTTCTCAGCTTTGATGAGTGGCCCTAAAGGGAGGTGACTTTACAGGGGCTTTACCTGATGTGTGGGGCTCCTCTGCTCCATGCTGGCAGCGGACAGCTATCACCCACAGAGCACATCTGTGCCTTAAGTCTTCTGAGTGAGCCCACGGGCCCTCTCACAAGGAGGGTCTCAGAGGAGTTCTTGCCTCCTCACTGGGCCCCAAATATCCTCCTCCATCATCTCTTCGTCCCCCCAACTTAGGCTAACACAGGGTGCCCCCAAGCTACCACAATTTCCCTGCAGATGCCATAGAGAAGCCTGCCATATCTCCTACAAGCAAACCAGAGGCTGGGACAAAGAACAGACACTTCATTCCAAGGTGCATGACAGCCAGGCGAGGCCAGGGGGTGCAAGAGACAGCAGGGAGAGCAGCTTCGTGGGTGGACAGGAGGGCAATGAAGGCTTTCTCCTAAGTATGGGTGTCTCCCAAAGGCATAGTGGCACCTCCCACCTCCAAACCAGTCCATGGTCCAGCACAGCTGAGTCCTGAGGCCGGACAGAACGACAGTGAGCAGGGCAGACCCGAGCCTAGCTGGCCATAGGGAGCTGTAATCCTAGGATCCTCCACTGAGGTTAAGGGAGGAGGGAAAGACAGCAGGAAGGCTGAGGGAGCTGCAGCAGCTTGGCCAGGCCCCTCGCTGAGATTAACTAAGAGGGAGGGAACAACACACAGCAGGGCTGCCCCCTCCACTCCCACTCCCAGGGCGCTGACAGAGTCATCCCTGCAGTGCTCAGCAGGGGGAGGGGGTGCCACCCAGGGGGAGAGGTCCACATCCAGAGGCTCTTGATCCCGCCCACAAAAGGCACATTTTAATTGGTTTCCCAAAAGTCCGAACCCTGTAGCAGCACAGAGTTTTGTCATCTGGACAGGCAACAAGAACAGACATGGAGGTTTGATCCCCAAAACAGCAGCAGCCCAAGGCCTGACCTGAAGGGACCCACTCACTGGAGGCAGGTGAGAATTGGATGAGTGAGGAGCTCCCCGACACACACACCTTGACCCTACACACTCTCACAGTGACACGCAGAGGAAAGGTCAGGAGAAGGGAGCAGGCAGCAACCTGCACACACATCCACCTCTGTCCACACCACACTCTGCAAACAGCTCAAGACAAAACAGACCCAAGGCATGGCAGGGACGAGACCAGGCTGCACAGGCTCCTTGCTCTCAGAATGGGTGAGAGGCTGAGAGTAGGCACCTGGTTGTCCATGACTCACAGACACGTGGCAGCTGGGTCTCTGTCCCAGTAATACTAGAAGCCCCTCCAGGGGCTGCGGGGAGTTGAGAGGAGGTGTTGACTGTTGGGGAAATGGCTGACCATCCCTGGGGATAATAATGTGTGTGCTAGCCACTCGTCTCTTCCCAGATACCACTTCCGCCGCATCTCACCTGGCCACTTCTTAGAGCTAAGTTCCTGTTCCAACCCCTGGACCCCCAAGGCTAAGGGGCATGAAAACAGGCAGGTGGGAAAGACCCAGGGCTCCCAAAGACACACGGAACCTGATGCTTCCAATGGGAGTCCAAAGGGCCCCCCTTCCAGCAGCCCCAGTAGAGGCAGGAGGGAATGTGGAGCAAGGAGTGACCAAGGAGAACAGACTGCGCCCTGCCCGGGGAGCAAGTTCAGC